AAGAGGACTCAATCCTCTCCAAGAGCAACAAAGAAGTTCATGAAAACAGAACAAAATTTCTAACCCAAAAGGCCTCTCTTAGTTTCCATTTCTCTTGGGAATTTACACGATTACAAATAAACTTACAGTTAAGACTCTCTTTATAACCATATTTTCAAGATTCAAAACCATGTTTTCAAGACTCTTGTTTTTTACCCATACATTTGGGGGGGCGGGGGGGGGGATGTGGAGAGAGAGGAATTCACCCTCAAAAACTCAAAACTTGATTACAAACATATTGAAACTAAGCAAATGATAACTTTTTTTTGCAGGTAAATAAGCGAAAGATAACTCTTGACAAAAATCCACTCGAAGACTATTAAATACTTCCAAGGCTACCCCTTAACAAGTTCAAACAAGACCAGACCACCCAACTGGAGCCAACTATGGTCAGAACTTGCTGAACTGCCCTTTTCAGTGAACTCACCTTCCACGGCGAAAATTGAATAATGCCTAATGTCTTCATCTGTGAATCTTCAAAGAGGATTGATAAAGGGGAGGTCCTACTTGCTCCTGCATCATAAAGTTGTTGCAACCAAGGAGATATGGACCCTAGCCATGCTCTATGAACAATGTCATTTCTTCAAGGAGGCTATTGAGCTACATAGAGACTACTCTTGAGGAGAAGATTAAGGACAAAAAAGAACATCTAACTATGTTGTATATCTTGGACCCAAATAGCTCCCATGCTAGACAACATGGGTTCTAGGGACAGTTAAAACAAGCACTGCACATAATGTGACAATATGTTGCAACTACAATAGGAGATATCAAGCACACATTCAGTAAAATAAGGTACGATATTATCATATGGAATGGAAGACACATATCCACGACGAAGGAGTGTACTCATATGAATCCCCCTCAAATGAAGCCCAAATTATTCAAGTGGAACACAAATAAAAAGAATGACATATGAAAATAGGAGTGCTCACAAGCTTCCTGTTTATATAAATAAATTCTTTTGGAGACACTAATGAGATGATGACATGGTGCATCACTTATTTCAATATTCAGTGCGTCCACTTCAATAAATTACCATGTACATCCAAGTAATCATTCAAACCAAGAAGTAAACAATCGGACATGCACACGAACAAGAGCACAAGCATACACATGCATGCCCAGATCTGAACATGGGTGAAACTACATAGATAAAGAGGAGTAAAAAATAACAAAATGAGAAAAAAACTGAATGAAGGAAAATCTTAATAACTTTGAAACCACAATAACTGGAATAAGATCTTCCAGAACTCTCTTTCAAGTCCAAGAGTATTAAGAGCAGATAAAAATTCTAAACGAAGCATTCCCAGTAATACTAACCAGAACTCTCTTTCAAGTCCCAGAGTATTAAGAGCAGATAAACAATCTATAAGAAGCATCCCCAGTAATACTAACCTGTAACCAATCTACCTTTTCCTTTTCTTGATTGCTGCTCTCCACAAGATACTTATCCGACAAAAACAAATGAAACTCAGTCAATTTGTTCAGCTTCTCAAGATTTTCAATGGATTGCAGATCAAAACAACCTTCAAAATTTAGATATTCCAAACTATGCAGATTTTCAATGGAGCAAACGTCAACTAGATGCTTGCAGTGACCCAAATACAATGTCTGTAACTTCATAGACAACTTAGAAGCAATTATCTTCTTCAGTCCTGGGCAGTCCTTTATTTGAAGTGACTTGAATGCTCCAACTATTTCAAACTCCTTGATATTTGAGCAGGACAATATTGATACAGATTGGAGATTAGCAGGATACTTTCCAATACCAAGCATATTGGGTAGCCTCAAATTTTTAAGTTCCAATTCCTCAAGGGAAGGAAACCCTTCAAAAATAAATTTCAAGAACCCATCACTAATAACACACTCATCAATATGCAGTTTTTTTATAGCTGAAAGGTCAGGGAAAGCTTCAGGATCCAATTTAAGTTGAGGAGTGCCAGATAGGGACAAGGTGACCAAACCAGAAATATTCCCGACAGGCAACTTCATAAGCTTTCGACAGTTATGGACTAACAGAAACTCCATATTTTTTAGGTCACTCATTTCCATGGGTAAACGACGTATGCGACAGGATAAAATGGAAAATGATGTAAGCTTCCTTAAATGCTTAATGGAACTTCCCAAATCCTCAAGCAATTTGAAAAAGCCAATGGTAAGTTTTTTCAATTGAGTCAACTTTGTAAACAAAGTTGTAGGAAATGCTCTCACTTCATGCCCATTCCATAGACAGAGTTCCTCCAAACTGGTAAGCTCCCCAAAATAATCAGGGAGCTCGGTGAACTGAGAACAAGAAACCAAAAGTTCTCTGATGCATCTTTGACAGGATATGACACTGGGAAAGTAGAATGTTTTGCATGAGAAGGCCCGACAAACCTCTAATTTTTTAAAGCCCCCAATGATATCTTTCTCAACCCGCAATTTCCAACAATGTTCCAAATCAAGATATCTGATTTCTGTGAGTTTTTGGAATGATTCAGGGATTTCTAATAAGGCCCTACATCCGTTCAGATCCAAGTGTTCCAACTTCAACAGATCTCCGATTGTAGGGGGCAAATAGTCTAATCTTTCACAATGAGATAAATCCAGATATTGCAAATTTCTCAAATTGCCTATATTATCGGGCAAAGCTTGCATATTTTCACAGCCAGATAGATCCAAGTATTTTAAAGCTTGAATATAACAAAATTCATCAGATATTGCAACAAGATTAAGGCAATGATTCAAGACAAGTTTTTCCAGTCTCGTCAACAATTTTACGGATTTTGGAAAGCCCTGAAGATAAACACAACCTCTCAAATTCAGCTCCTGCAATTTTACAGGTATCTGCAAAACAAGGACACAGAATTATTATCAGCCCAAACAACTGACGCTGCAAAAAAGGGCACAATTAGCTTGACATAAAACTCTGCAAAGTACAAGTACAGCAGGCATGAATCTGTTAATTGCCTTGTCTAGAAAAAAAAAATAGAGAGCTAGACCAAATGAATGCAAACAGATCTATGAAATATGCCTGAGAGTAATGAATTTTAGCAATTGATATGGGCAAGACTGATTACTTGCCTAACACCTACTCTGTTATTGATCAAAATTTTGATATACATCTAGCCTATGGTTGTTAAAATGAGCAAGAGGCAATAACCTACCTCCTGGTCGTCGTTCCACAAGTGAGCAAATTTTCCTCCTGACATGTCCAAGATATGCAGATTTGTAAGTGGCAATCCAACCGGAAAAGATACACTCGGGGAGTGGCGCCAACGAAGCCACACAAGTTTCCTCGAGAGAAAACTAAAATCACCTTCAATACAAGCATCTTCTAGTATCAGCAACTGTAATTCTGTCATGGGAGCAAATGAACTTAAAGACCACACCAAAGGTCCTCCTTTTTTCCTTATGACTTTGGATTTTGGTACAACAAAAGAATGACTCCTGTCATCTTCAACTGCGTTCACTATCAGGGTAAGTCCTTGAACAGTTTCAGAACCCTAGGGAAGAAAAAAGATTACAAGAAGAATTAGCTCCAGGATAACAGTTTACTAATTCTATAGATTACAAGCAACAATGTTCTCCAGAAAAGAAATTCATAATACTAATTATAATTACTACATGAACGAAAAGAAATAATAGGCTCCAAGGATATAGGAAAAAATTTGCAAAAATAAAATCTAGCAAGTTCCCTGAGACTGAAAATCGTTAGTAACTACAATTACCATAACAATAACCATAATTACCATAAGCATATATTATTCTATAGTTCCATATCTACATCAAGTCGGAAAAAAAAATGCAGCTTACATCTTCATGAAAATCTCATGATTAGAAATATGTTGAATTATCTTTCACAGATGTTGTTGAATTGCAGTTAAGTAGTATGCAACAATATGTTGTTATTTTGGCAATTCATTAGGTGCAGTCAATTTTACAACGATCACAATAAATTTATAACAACGATAACAAGATATCATTTTTAGATGTTGAACCAATAACATGTCTTCTCTCTTTCAAATATATATTTTTTTTATTTTTGTTGTAAAATAAATTTGTTTTTCCAATTTCTTCAATTTGATATGACCCATTACCCTGGCTATACCATAGGAAGCAGGTCATCCTATTTCTCTAACATGTTTCAACTTGATTGGATGTTTGGCATATCATTAACATAGAAAGAAATCCAAAATTAATGACCCATCCAACAAGAAAATGAACCAGCCAGGTATAAAAAGAAACCAAAAAATAATATTTTTATACTCATGGGTACTGGGATAGTCAAAGATAAGTCTGAAAGCATGTAGCAAATGCATCTTTCTATGCAAGGTGTCTTCCAAACAAACAGAAACCCATTAATTTGAAAAGGAGAACTACACAAACAGGGTAAGAAACGCACACTTTCTTCATCCAAGACTTTAATAACATCATTGGGCCGCCATAGGCGAGAGCGACGTCCAGGATTGTTGAAGTCCTCCTCTTCTAATATTTTTGCCGCCATATCTCTGAGTTGGTCATGCATACGAAACTTATTCTTCTCCAATTTTACAAGGCATTTCTGTTGCAGAGACTGAACCCCAACAGACCCAAACCACTTAAATGCATCCCAAACTTTGATGGCCATGTCTTTATTTTCACCAATAAAAAAAGATGCAATATCCAAGAATATTTGTTTCTCTGACCAATCAAGAGCATCATAACTGACTCTAAGATGCCTATCAATATCTCCTGGTATAATCTCAACAATTGTTTGTAGTATTCGCTCCCAGATATGAATGGTTTCTCCAAAAACCTGAGCCCCAAGAGTTTCCAGAGAGAGGGGTAACCCATTACAGTAAGTCACGAAGTTATCGACTAGGACATCAAATCCAAGAGCAGGTTGGGGCATGAGAAATGCATGCCAGCAAAAAAGCTCCTTTGCATGATGCTTTTCAAGCCCATCCATATCATATATCAACGCATTTGGGATACACTCGACCAGTCGTCTATCTCTGGTTGTAATTAAAACTATGCTAGTGCAGTGGACAACCTCAGGAACCCGTAATGCATCAAGCTGATCAAAGTCATCAATATTGTCAAGCACTATAATGACTTCTGCCCTAGACAAACACTTTCTCAGAAGAAATTTCCCCTGATTAATACTGTGAATTTGATGGTCTATTTGAAGTAAGTCCTTTAGTAGAAAACCTTGAACTTTCTCCAATCCAGCTCTTACAACTCTATCTTTGATATCATCAACAAAGGAAAATGCCTTGAACTGCGAGCGCATAATACTAAAGAATTCTTTGGCCAGTGTTGTTTTGCCTATGCCACCCATTCCTACCAATCCAAGCACCCTTGCACCTGTACCTTCACGTCCAACTTCTAAAAGCCTCTGGAGTTTCTCTGTTTTCTCAGCCAAGCCAACTGGGTGCCTTGCAACTTCCAATACATTGGCATTCACCATGTTGATCGCATCTTGTACCACGGCCTTCAAGAGTTTGCGTGAATTCCTGCACAGAAAGATTCCTTTTAGATGTTACATGCATATATATATA